CAGTGGGAAACAAGCCTGGTGAGGATTGCTTATGTCTGCTCTACTCAGTATCAGTTGGAGCAGCTGGAAAGCTAGGGCTGAAATCATTTAAAGGCTCATTCAATGCCTTAGATGGTTTTGCTCAGTGGATAGAGCGTTGGCCTACAGATTGAAGGATACCAGATTTGATTCTGGTCAGGGGCAGTACCTTGGTTGCTGGGCCCATCCCGAGTAGGGGGTGTGCAGGAGGCAGCTGATCCATGTTTCTCTCTCATCAATGTTTCTAACTCTCTATCCCTCTCTTTTCCTCTCTGTAAAAAATCAATAAAATGTATTAAAAAAAAATAAAGGGTACCTTCATGTTTTTAGATTAAGTCCACTTAAATAAAGCAAGCATTTAGGACTAGAAAACGCAGGGTCAATTTTTCATTTTCTAGTTTAGGGGATAAATATATAGGAGAAAGTGAAGACTTTGTAAAACACATTTCACATTCAGAAATAAAATGTATTTTCTTGGTGTGTTATATTGACGAAGAGTATGAAGTAATGATAAGCATATTCCCCCTACTGGGGATCGAGTCTGCAACTCAGTCATGTGCCCTTGACCAGAATTGAAACTGGGACCCTTCTGTCCGCAGGCCGACACTCTATCCACTGAGCCAAACCGGCTCGGGTTCGTGTCTACTGTTTTTAACCTGGAAAATATTTCTAAATATTTATTTTAACCTCTTTTAAAAATTTTTGTACTTTTCCTTAACCAATTTTTAAATATGTTTTATTCTTTTTTAGAAAGAGGAAGGGATAGGGATAGATAGAAACATTGATGGGAGAGAAACATCATCCAGAGGCTGCCTCCTGCACGCCCCCTACTGGGGGTCAAGCCCTGAACCCCAGGCCTGTGCCCTGACCGGAAGCGAGCTGGTGCCCGCTGAGCCACACCAGCCGGGCTGTTTTCACCTCTCGAATTGGGACACTGTCTCCCTATTCATGAATTCCTCGGCATACACCTCAAATACCACCATCATCACTATTTCTGATACAAAGAGGATTCTGGAGGAAAAAACCCTCTATCGAAACTTTGTGTTAAGAATCCACTCTGCGTTCTCCCAACTGAGCTCACTAATCACTGAGGTCACGCCCACCACGGTGCCGGGAAGAACCTGTCGCCTCTACGAGGGGAGCAGCTGTGCTCTTTCGGACCCAAACCCTTCATATGTTTTTCACAACAGGGTCTGCGGTCACATGGTGGCAACGTTCTTTCCCTGAACCCCGAGGGCCGCCCTCCCAGGCCAGGCCAGCGAGGATGGAGAGTGGACAGGGCACCGTCCCTCTCTTCTGAGATGCACCCGTGCCCGCCATCACCTCAGGCGCCAGCCCGGACAGCTCCGCGGTCAGTGCAGCCCAGTCACCCAGGCAGTGGGTTCCGCCCGGGTCAGGGCGCAAACCAGAACCAGCCACTGGCCGCGTAAGTGGAACAAACCGATGTTTCTCTCTAAAATCAACCCATAAACTAAACATGAAAAAACCCAGCACTCAAGTGCCAGGTAGAAACTGCTCACCTGACCAGCTTGTCAGCCAGGGACGCGCCCCATCCACCCTGTTGGAAAGAAAACTGGAGAAAGAGCAGCCCATTAGTCCTGGTCCCGTCCGAGGCCATGGTGGCCGCCGGGCACCCCGCGCCGGGCTGGCCCTCAGCCCGCTCTGCTCCCGGTCAGGCAGGGACCCCCACAGCCCGCCCGGCAGCGCCCTGCCCCCTCAGCGGGACGGGCCAGCCCCTACGCTACGCTGAAACCTGCTACCGGTCACTCATCTAGAAAAGCTCCTTAGGAACTTGGTACAGTCGGTACCTGCACCTGTGTGCTGAGTTAGGATGTGAAACCTCGCTGCCCTCCCTTCCCCCCGTTGCAAGAAGCCAGGGCGACTCCTTACGGAACTCGGGGTGAACCTCGGGGAGGCATCTCCACGGGCCCGGAAGCCCTCCTGCCCCGATGCCCCAGCGTCCCCCGCCCGGCACAGACGCAGAACACCGCAGGGAGGCCCGTCTGCGAGCCGGGAAGTGAACTCGTAACGCGCGCTCCGCCCTGAGGCGTGAGCTGGAGTGATGGCGGGTGAAAACAGGTCAGCTTTGCTCCCGGGGGCATGTCATTCGGGCTCAGCCTGTTCCGCCCGCGGACGCGGAGAGGCGGCTCCGCGTTCCCCGCCCCGCATGGGCTGCGCCGGGCCTCGCGGACACCGGG